GATTCGGCTAATTATAATCCAGCATCTACCTATCAGGAACATCAGGAATGTTCCCCCAGTTCACACAGAACTGGAGCAGTATTTCTTTACAAGCATCAGAGATGTCTGCCTCATGTAACAGTTTGCTTAACTCTCAGTTTGGTTTCCAAGGGTAGGACAAACTAGAGAGCCAAAAACAGGAAAACAAAACAAAACAAAACAAAGAAACAAACCTCCTTCCTGTTCCTCTCTTTCCAAGGCAGTCTTTCCCCCGAGGACAGTTTAAATGTGGTAGGTACCCTGTAAGCCAGTTCTTCAAACTCTCAGATGCCATTATCTGGGAGGAAATGCCACACTTTCCATTAGTGATGAATAGGCAAAGTTTAGAGGTACACTACTCTGCAGAAGTATCCCCTCAAAATACAGTAAAGACCGTGGTGTCCAACCACACAATTGCCCCAATTTATCTATATGCAAAAGGTACAGACACACACAATCAATTTTCAGGTGTTATGGCCAAGAAGATTACTGATTCCAGCAGAAAGATACTTTAAGCTCCAGCAATCAGTCTGAAAACTGAAGGTGAAATCTCAGCCTCAATAGAGTCAGCAGAAGTTTTTTTCCCTAGCGACTGATGGGGCCAGATTTCCTCTGCAGCACAGAGGGAACATGCTTTATTTTTAAATGTTAAGTAATGCATGTGAGACATCCAATGTGTTTAAAACTACACATTTCCCTATTACAACCATGACCTAATACTTATTCAGTGGAGATCTCTGGTGGAAATAAGTGCCAGGCACATGTTTTGTTGGTCAGCTGGATTTGTTGACCATTACATCAAGTTTTACTTTCAAATACTCTTGTGCAGTGTAATCCAATTAGGATTTAAAGCAACACTGACACTGTTGAATTATATAGCTAATAATAATAATAATAAATTATATATTTGCACAGATTATGACCAGGTCAGGTATTTCTAAGGCAGTTGCTCACAGTATTTTACACGAACATGGGGGAACATAATCCAGGTACTTATTCCTTGTGTAGGCACCTCGGGCCCTCTGTAGTTGTTTCAACTCTGCTGATATGCGACTCCGGTGTGGTAAGAGATCTGAAGCTATTCTTAGACCATGGCAGAAAGCACGAAGTGGTTTGTTGGCAGGTCTTACCCACTATAATGAGAGCAAGTTGCTTCATTTATTTCCCTGTTAGATGAGCAGTGAGAAGATTGAAAGTCAGAGCATAAATAAGCTCCTCAGACTGGGAACAAGAACAGAGAATCAATCAGTTGTTGGGGAGGAACCAGTCAGTTCCTCTCCATCTCCCTTGCAGCAGTCCAGCCATCAGTTTACAGCATGTAAGGACAAGAAAAAGAATGAATTATTTGCCAAACCACATTTTGCACCTCTGCTTTTGAATTCAGTTGTTTCCCTGCAGTCAAACACAGAAGCCTTTACAAACTAAACACAAGACTTGAGCAGGTTCACAAGGCACCCACTGCCAGCCCTCAAAGGTAGAAAAGAAACAAAAAGATGGAGACAATACTACCAGATAGTGGTCAGGGACTCCAAGGCAACTCCTCTTGTGTTAAAAGTTGTCAAGATGTGTTGGCACAGATGCTTCAATTTTTCATTTTTGTTCCCTTTGTAGATTTAATTTAACTTGGAAAAAAAAAATGCTGAACTCCAAACCTAAACATTTTAGTTTGGGGTAAAAATAATACTTTTCATCTGAATGCAAATGAATTTCCCACTTTCTATTTTTAGGTCCCAGTAGTGAACTCAAGCACACAAGCCTTAAAGACTCCAGGCCACTTCCTCTATGAGCCAAAGTTCTCAGGGAAGGTAGAGATGCCTCACCGTTGGGTTTGCAGGAGGGAAAGGAGCACAATCCCACCAAGGAGGGTCAGGGTTGCTGATCCCACCCAGGGTCACAGAGCCATGCTCTCCCCCTCCCCAAATTCAGCAACAGCTTTGACATTGGCCTCAAGCAGAAGGGACGCTGGGCTCACATCATTGGTTTGCTCCCTCTTCTTTCCAATGCTAAGAAAAAAATAAAAATAGGAAAAAAAAAAAAAAAGGCATCCAAAAAAGTGAGGCCTTTGGGTTTCAGCAAGCATGCAATACCACGGTCTAGTACGGTGTGACTGGGTGTTGGGGGAAATATGACTTCTTCCTATTTTGCATATAAACAGGCTAAGCAGCAGCTTCAGCCCTGATAGCTCAGGCTGCTACAGCCCGTGAAATGCAGAATTCTTATGGGCTTATTTTTTTCATAAAAGTAGGGGGTTTATGCCTGTCTCAAGTGCTGTTATGCCTTGTGAACAAAAAAATATGAAAATCTTTCTTCTAAAGAGCTTAAATCAAAATTATGCATATATTATGTTTATGACCAAAAATATGCTCTATGTTAAAGGAAGCAGCAAAGAGAGGAATGAAGAGAAAGGGAGGAATACGGGTTTTAAAATCCTCCCATACCACAGCATATGTAAACCCTCTCTTGTCACAATGCTAGTTTATATATTGGTCTGCTACATTAAAAATAAATCAGGCCACCTCTTTTTAACTTGAGCCTAATAAGGTGCACCATACATACATTTATCTGTAGATCACAGCCTGGCCTTGGAGAACAGCACAGAGTTTCTCTGCTGCTTAAAAAGACTGGGGCACCTAAAAACTAAATGCACACAGGGCCATGTCGCTACTCCAGCGTGCTGTAAGCCAAAGATGTAACCCAACCCTCGGCTTTGCCGATCGGATTCACCCCACAACGTGACACCGTGCCACGAAAACGGCGATGGGGCCACGGGCTGACAGGCAGCACCAAACATGGAGACGGTGGCACCGGATCAGGGGGACATAAACTTGGACAGCCTGGTTAGCAACCACTGTTTGCAAACACAACACAGGGGATCAGATGGGCCGGCAATAAATTAGGAGCAGATAGCAGAGAGCAAGAGAAATCACTCAAAATAACAAACGTAGGCAAAGAGGGCTCCCCAGCCACCCTCGGTTTCATTTTAGTGCCTGAACCCAGGTATGTGCATGTCCCAGCTCCCAGGCTGCCGAAGCACGACGGAAAAAACACTATCTGTCAAGTGAAACTAAATAACGAGTGGTTCCAGCACCACTCCTCCAGCTCGGAAGCTTAATCGCAGCCTTCCTAAATGCTGCTTTATCCCATGTTCAACTCCATTTGACCCCAGTTTGAGCTCCACTTCAAAGAAGAAGAAGGGAGTTTAGGTGATAGGGGGAGCTCCTCACTGTACACTCCCCCAGGTGAGGTTTGCTCTGATCCAGATGATCACTACATCCAAAAAGCTAAGGATTTGGGCCTTCTCTCTCCTCTGGCATGCTTCCAGATCTGCTGGCAGACCAGTTTGGGGAAGGGATTTCTGCTAAGCAGGTCTCTTAGGTAACATTTCTCAATGGTTGAAAACCAAAAATGGCCCAAGGACTCTCACAAGCAGTTGGTCAAACCCAGTGCAGCACCCAGAGTCGGCAGGTGGGAGAAAGGGCTGGCCAAAACCTGCCCACAGCACCCAACAGCTCAGTGCTGCCCAACTACAGCTCTGCAGCTTCATCTCCACCAGGATCTTACTTCAGGTACTGAAAAAGTACCAGCCTGAGGTCCACAGAAGCTTCAGTGTTTTCCCCTGTGTTTCTCTGAAAACACTTTCAGCATACCATTTTTCTGAGGACAGGAAGGCTTGCAGACTACAACCATATATCTAGTTGCAAAGGCTGTAGAACAGAATGATTACCACCAGAAATACAGGACTCCGGCAACAATCTCCCTCTGCTAAGCACCTCGTCTCCCTCTTTTACAGATGAAGGTCACCACCATAACCCAAGAGACTCAACAAAAGCATACACGGAACCCACACCAAGTATCAGAGCAAGTCCAGCATGACCATACACTTGCTGGGAGCAAGGAGACAGTTCACCAGTTTTAAGCTTCCACAAGAAACACCCACACAGAAGTATCTCACAGGACCCTTAGCTCCTATAAAGCTAAGAAACTCAACCGAGGAAAGGGGATAAACTATCAGCCCAATCCATTCTCCTGCCACATTGGGCAGGTGGGAAGTAGTAAGCTGCACAGAAAAATATAAGCGAATTAAATACATACAGTATGAGCTAAGCAGCAAATCCCTCCATAGTTTCTCAGTGCCACAGCCAGTCTCTGCCAACCATGCCTCTGAATGGCATAAACACCCAGGGGAAAGGAAATTCAATCTAGAGGGCAGCATTGTTATAAATAGGATCTACAGAATGAAGTGAAGAAAGGGAACTGTCCTTTGATGCTGCCTTAATTGGTAGGGCTTGTTTCCACCAAAGCATTAAGGGATAAACCAAACACCACATTAAAACAGGAACCTTTACAGGAAAGCCATACACATATATAAACACATATACATGCAAACACAACACTTCCAGATCACTTTTTTCAGTGTTTCCCTCTGTTCATTATTCTCACCTCATACCACCAAAACAAGGCTTGATTGCTCAAGTTTTGCTGACTGGTCCACGACAAAATGCCTCAGACCAAGTGACTTCCCTTGCCTTTCCTTCTCCAATCTCACTGCCCATCTCCAGCACCTATGAGTTCAGTTTTATACAGACTAAAATAAGGCTGCTAAGTAAAGGTCAGTCTGACAAGACAAATGAGAACTAACCCCTCCTGGACCTCTGCTCCTTGGGCTATAAATACTCAGAACAAGCAATGGGGGAAATTCTTTGTCTGCACAGACACCAGGAAGCACGTTTCCTCCTCCTTCCAGTTCCCATCCCTCTTGCTACTCAAGGACAATATTCAGAGAAAAGCAAGCATCTCCCTGCTACCAGCTCCATGGTTTGTCCACAAACAGCATTTGCTTTGCAACTGGTGACTGGAGGCACACAAGCCTCGCTAGAGATAAGCAGATGCTTTCAAGGTTCAGCCATCAGTGAGGCTGACAGCAGAGTGTACATGCTGCAAAGCAAACCATGAGCCTACATGCGGGCAACGAGGAGAATTACCTTTTAGGACTAGGGGCTCCTTGCCTTCTCGCTTGAGTGACTCTAGCACTATGTGGAGTGGCTGGGAAGGCATTACTCTGCTTGGCTCATTGGTATTCTCATCATAAACTATGATTTCTTTGGAAAATATTCTCTTGAAGGAGTCCTTGCCTTCCCGGCAGGAGATCAAGTCCAAGACGGTGATCTTGCCCTGCTGGAGCCTTCTCCGGCTGATCTTGTCAGAACAGTTAATGTGGACAGCCCCTTGAATGTGGCTCTTATTATACTCCATGAAGGGCCTGCAGTCAATGATGACAGGCCCTTGGTTCTGTTGGTGGCTCTTGCTGCATTTGGTCATCTTCTTGGCCAGATCATTGGGGTAAATGATTTTGATGCTAGTGAGTTGCTTGGTGGTGCCCGAGACAGGGCTCCCCACCCCGCCCAGCGGGCTCAGGCTGCCGGCGTTCTCATTGCTGTTGACCATTTGGTTGGCAGGGCAGGCGGTGGAGGCTCCGGCGTGGGTGCTGCTGGTGCTCGCTTGAGTTTGGGCCTGAGTGTCCTTGTCGTACGTTGCCACAGTGCAGCAACTGGCACTGCTGCATCCACAACTCAGGGAGCGTGCAGAGCCGTTGGATGAGGGCATATACGTGAGATTAGCAGTCTTTAGGGACACAACAGCTGCGCCGAGCAGACTGGAGTGGCTCTCACAGGCAGAAGAGGCAGACTCAAGATAGCTAGAGTCTAAACAGAGGTTGAGATCCTGAGGTCTCACTGGCCTCGAAAGTGCCACTACTACCCTGTCGTCTAGAGGAGACGGAGGCATGAGGAGGCTGAGCACTAGCAAGTTAAGAAGAACTCAAGATCACCCTGCAAAAGAAAAAGTGGAGGGGAAAGAAGAAAAAGGTGATGAAAACAGATCATGAAATCAACATTAACCTACAGATGCGACAACTTACTTTGCCAAGACCCATTATCCTCAACCTAACAACCCTTTCTGACAGTAGTTGCTTAAAAGCCTTTTAAATCCTGCAGCAAATACTTCAGCTATCTGCATGTGCACACATGGCACGCAGAACACACGCGACTAGCCTGGATGTGCAGTTACACCCAGGAGGAGGCATTTGGCTACATGCAGATGGTGCTGAGCTATTCTGAAACCCCAGGCTGCAAGGCACACCACTGATAATGACAAGGGCACATTCTCTCATCCAGTGGCTTACTGCAAGGGAAGAAACTACTGGGCTGACTCTACTGCTGGGAGGAACGCATAAGAGCTGAAGAGCTGAATGTGTCAGTGGTGATACACAACTTTTCCAGCAAGATGGAATAAAATTAGCTTGTGAACAAATTTCCTGAGACAGTTACAAACTTGAACACGTGAGGCTAAATAAAAAATACCCAGAAGAAAAGGAGAAAATCAGGTTCCGGAAATCCTTACAAAAAGTAAGTGCACATCTTGCACTTCCATCCCCCTGCTAGAGAGAGAGACAAATTCAGCCCCAGTCAAGCCCCCTGCTCCAGGCCCGGAAAGGCTGCTGTTCTCCAGCAGTCCATGAGGCAAGTTCCCTGCTCCCCACCACAGTTCACCGCTTCTACAAAAAGGGGTCCCCCCTGCCCCAATCAAGGTCACTGCCTGCCCAGCCTTTGCCTTCTGATTTGCTAAGACCCAGCGCGCAGGTTTAGAATCCCCCCATTTCCACTCGGGAGGGAAGGAAGACGACAGGAGGGAAGGAAGACGACAAGAGCAAAACAACCTAAGCCAGCCCTGACAGTGCCTCCCCTTCAGCAGCAACTTCGGGAGCAGCCGCAGCTCTCGCTGAAAAATACATCCCAGTACCAACTTCGCCAACTCCATCAAACCCCCGGAGCGGGGCGAGCGCTCGCAGCCCCACTGTGCCGCGCAGGCGGCTCCGCACCGGACCCGTCGGCAAGGGGCAAGGAGATGCCCCATTCACACGCCGGTGGGCCGGGGGCCACTGCCACCCGCAGAAGCCACCGCTGTACGGAAGGACCCGACGGGAACCTCCGGGAGCGGGGAAAGAGCGCGACCCGCCGCCTGGGGCACAGCCGGGCGGTGCCAGCGGGCGGGCGAAGCGGAGGGCTGCACGGCGCTCACCCGGAGGCTTCCCAACCCGTTTCTGTCCCCAAACCTTCCCTCGCTTATTCTTTTTTAGAGACTTAAGAAAGCGATAAAAGAATCCCTGGGTGGGACGAACGCCCGTCGCCTTGACGCAACTGAAAAAATTTAAATAAGCGAAGGGGAGACACCCGGCTCGTTCACGACGGGCCAAACAACTGAAGAGCACAGAGAGCGGGAAGCTTGAAGTTTTTGCCCCCGGAGCGCCACGGAGCGGGGGCACGCGCCGCCAAGCGAATTGCTCCCCGCCGCGCACGACCTGCGCAGGCTCCCGCAGCTCCCCGGCTCCGCTCCGCGCCCCGCATCCGCTCCGCGCGCTGCCCCGCACTCACCGGGCGGCGCGCTCCGGCCGGTGCGCGGCGATGGTTGGTGGGTGGTGGAGAGTGATTGGTGACGCCGGTGCTGCTAGGCGGCGCCGCCGCTCGGTGCCTGTGTGGCGTGTCGCGCCCGCTGCCGCGCGCCGCCCCGCACCATCCATCGTTACTTATCTCTTTTTTGCACCGCGTAAATGTACGGCCCGGCGGGGCGGGGCCCGCGCGACGGCGGCCGCGGGCGGGCCAATCAGCGCGCGGGGGCGGGCCGAGGGGCGGGGCGGTGATGTCATCGAGCAGCCAATGGGCGAGGGGCGCGACGCGGCCCGCGCCTCGGGCAGCGGGCGCTCGGCGGCGGCGGGCGGGAGCGGGGCTGGAAGCCGGCAGCGGACAGCGCCCCCGCAGGGCGGGGAGCGCCCCGGAAACACGCCCTGGGGCGGCCCCTGCGGCCGGGAACGGCCGCCGACGGGGCTGGCAGGCTGGGTGTTTACGCGTCCCACGGGAAGGGGCCAGCGAGACCGTCGGCTGGCGCCAGGAGAGCATCACCCGCGCTCCCGGGGCAGGGGACCGTGCTGCCTGTCCCCCACAGCCCCGCAGTGCCTCGGCGGTGTACCAGTGGAGCCAAACGGAGGAGGATGCTTTCTGGGTGCTTTTCCAAGCAATCCTCCGCTAACAAAAACAAGCATGCATGAGATACTTGGAGTGGAAAAAGAGTAACTTCCCTGCACGGCAGCGGTAAATCACGGGGAGGGCAGGAGGTGTGCCCTGCTCGCCGCTCAGAGACGGACAGGCCTGGAGGTCCTCACCTGCCTGACCCCCAGGTTAAAGATGGATCCAGTTGCTCCATGTTCTGGAAATTCAGATCAAATCCAGCTTCTGGCACGCTGTCCAGCAAAGATCATGAGTGCTCAGATTAGACTGGACTCTCCCAGTGTAAAAAGGAAAGCAATAAAGGCTCGAGGACAAGATTTTAGGGATCTGTTACAAGGACGGGTATAAATCCTTTTCATCCTTTCTGGCAGGTGTTGACATGGGTGAAATAATGAGCTCTCACCCTTGCTACATGTGCACTACAAGGCAAAAGGTGAGAATTGATTTTCAAGCCATATGGATCAGCTCATCAAACACTAGGAAGGTACCTGGCAGCAGCCCGAGATTTTTGCACCCTTTCCTCCCCTGCTGTGCAATCTATTTTCACATTTCCTGGTTTGCAACCACATCTCACCATGTATCAGTCCATCACATATCAATCCACCAAGTCGGAGACAGGGAAAGGGCCATCTCCAGAGCGATGCATCCCACCATGTCCTCCCTGACCACAGGAGTGCCGGAGAGTTTCACCTGCAGCCATGAATGCAAACCCTTTGAGCTAGATAGAGGAGGAAGGGTGAAGTGAGGGCTGATAAGAAGTTGTCAGCACGATAGCATTGAATCTAAATTAGCCCCCAAAGATTTTGTTTCTGGGATATATGGAGATAATTAGTTTTTCAACTGGGATTTTCAAGCTTTAACTACCAATCCAACTGCATCTATAGCAAAAAAAATAGTCTAAATGCAGTAATATCATCATTCAGCAACTCAGAGCAAAAAAATCTCACGGAAACAGGTAGGAAGATTTCAGAAGCACTGAATACTTGATTTTTTTTTTGATTAATGGTTCTAAGGTAAACAGCAAGTCAAATCCCTTTCCTCATAGTCATTCCTTAAACAATCAGCTGCTTTCCTCTAAATGTTCCTCTTTCGGACACTGACTCATCCAGCACAAATTCAAGCTTTTGGTTTCCAGTGTTGTGATGCCACACCAGGGCACAGTTCTCCCGCACACTGGGAAGGAAAGCGGAGCCAGGAGAAAGCTCTCCCATGCAACAGCTTCACCTGCAGCAATCTGCTCCCAGTGAGAGCAATGTGGGCAAGGACTTGGAGCAATTAAGTCACAGAATGGCTTAATCTTCACACAGCAAGGACCATAATCTGGAGGTATTACCTTCTGAAAGCTTATAAAATGTAAGTCACCATGCTACCCAGCATAAAGGCAAACCAGGCTTCTAACAGTGGTGTGCAATTGCTGCATTAACAGTTGTCCTCAATGAGAGAGCAAAGAGATCAATGGAGAAATGCACTGGTCTCAGACTCCACAAACATTGTTCAGTTCCCCAGAGGTGCCACTGTGAGACACCACTGTAGCATTTCCATGCTCTCCATTCCTCTTTGTCTGTGGCTTGCTGAGGTTGGCACTGGGCTCACTGCAGGAGAGGGTTAGCTCATGCCTCCCTCAAAACGTCCCTTTCAGGCCACACTCGGGCTTGGAGAAGGAGCTCCCCATGGGCTTGTGTTCAATTCACTGCTTGAAATGGTCCTTCCAACCAGGGGAGCTGGAAACCATGTTTCTGGGTTAGAGCATCTCCCAAAGCTAGACATCTCCTAAGGCAAATATTTGCTAGAAGACACTTGGAATCATTCATTTAGCAATCTTTTACTTTCTGACCAAACTTCTCAGTACTAACAATGTGTGCACCAAGGAAATGTTTTGTGACTTGTTTGTGGAGGAGCTCACCTCACAGAAGAGCTGTGCAGAGCTTACTCACAGCAAGCAATTCTCCTTTCTGAAGGATACTCAGCCTTTGCCAAGTTTTTTTACAATACAAACAGAGTCCAAATGTAATTTTGCCTCATATTTTACTTAACTTTTTATTTTTCTAAGAATGTCGACTCTAGGTTGCTATTCCTTCCCAGTTTCAGAGGATTTCCTATAGAACTTCTACTGACTTCATGCTTAATACATTTTATTAGCCTATGACATAAGATTGGCCTTTTTCCTGCTCTCAGAAACCACAACCCGTTGTGATTTTTTTTTCTGAGCATATTCAGTGAAGGCTTTCTAAATGCCTTTGCTTTCTGTAATTCAACACCCAAAACAGACAAGACTTATCTATTCCCTAAAAACTAAACTTCTATTTTCTGAAAAGCACACAAGAATTCTTACTATGAAAGCTGGCAGATTATAGCTAAATTCTCACTTCCAGCAGTAGCAGGACATGGGATTTTGACATTTATTTTCCTCAAATGCTTTTGTCATCATGATGCACTTGCTCAGATATTTGAAGAAAACCACAAGCAGACAAAGAGAAATCATCTCAGAATTGAAGCAAATCCTTACAAACTCTCACAGTATACTAATTGCATAAAATCCAATCAAACCCGTTCAACCTCACAAAAAGGGTAAAGATTGCTAAAAACACATGCTGAATATTTAACAGATGTGAAAAAGAAGCCATCAAAATTCTTGACAATAACACAGACATCCCTTAAGTGCTCTCAAACTAAACAGTTCCTTGTTACTAAAAGATTTCTTCCAGGTCAACCATTCTTCCACTCTACGATCATGGACTTTTTCTTTTGTTTAGGATTAAAAGAAAT